CGTAAAATGCCGTTTACGATCGTTTACGACCGGGGGTGTTTGACCTGGGATGTGTTGATGAAAAAATATTTTCAAAAATTAATGCTGCTCTTTTATAAGCTTTTAAAGCTTCTTCAAAATTTTCATCTTCTTCATAAACAAGACCCATATTTGCTAATGTTTTTCCTAAAGATGGATCTTCTAATGAAAGTGTTTTAATTTTCATTTCGAATGAATAGAGATAACTTTCTAATGCAACATCATATTCACCAAGCCAAAAATAAATATTACCAATATTATTATATGTTGATTCAATATCTATCTGAAATCTATCACGTATAGATAAAGCTTCTTGATGATATTGTAATGCTAATGAATAGAATTCTTCTTTTTCATATATACAACCCATATTATTTAAACATTCAGCCATTTGAATTGGTTGATTATCACCATAAATTTCTTTCCAAATATGTAAAGCTTCATTATAATTTTCTAATGCTTGATTATAATCATCACATTTTTGATAAATACAACCAATAGAATAATAAGTACTAGCTAAATTTGGATCATTCGATTTTAAAAGGTTTATTACTTGAGAGTACCAATAAAGACTTAATTCATAATTAGTTTTTTCAAAACATATAAGACCAAGTGCTTGATAACATTGTGAAAAATCTTCATGATCTTCAGGTATTTCTTTTAATAGACGAGAAAAATATTTTTCAGCATCGTCAAATTTTTCCATTTGTCTTAGTATATGTCCACATGAAATAAGATTTGTATCATCATAATCTTTTTTAATATTAACTAAAATAATTTTAATAATCCATAAATTATTTTTACTATCTAAACAAATATTAGTCAATTGGAAAACTGATCCTAACATAAATAAAACTTTTTTTTCAACAGGAAGATATGTAAATTGGGTTATAATAGCAAATGCTTTGGATTTATCTGTTGAAGTAACAGCATCAATTTCAAATAATACTCGTACTAAACCTTCTTGTGTAGAAAATTCATTTAAAGATGATATTATTTGCTTACGATTAAATACTGCTGATAAAAATGTATTTATTGAAATACAATGACCCACAGAATTTAGGAGTGTATTTAATTCATCATTTGACATTAGTTGACCATGATAAACTTGTATAGATGCATTACATTGATTTTTTTCTATAAGTTTTTGTATATCACGAAGAAAAAATCCACAGAAAAATAATAGATCAAGATTTTTGATACTTAATGCTTTATTTAATAAACGACTAAGAAATGATTCACGTGTATACCACCACAATGCTTGATTAGAATGATAATTTTGTTCAAATTCTTGAATTATTAATAATGTATTATTATCATTTGAATATGTATTCGAACATATTTTAATAAATTCGTCTTTATCAGTTGTAATTGTTTTCATTTGAAAAAGAGTATCAATAATTAATTGAGAATGATAATAATCATTGGATACATTATCTGAGGAATAAATAGTTATTGGAAATGCTTCGTCAATTTTATGTGAAATATGTTTTGAATAATCAGATTGAATTTGATTAATAAGTGACTTTAATTCTACAGCAACACTTTTTACCTATTATCGAATAGAATATATAAATATCCTAATATCAAAATACATAGTTTGGTAATTACCTTAGTAAATTTACGAGCCCATTCTTTATTTCTTTGCTTGTCTTGACAATAAACATAAATAGAACAGACTTGTCGAAGTTGATAAATATGTGGAACTATTTGACGACCTAACTGTCCACTAACAATAAGAAAAATTCGATCATAATATGATTTATGGCGTATATAATTTTCACATTCTTCAATATTGTCAAATGCTTTAAATTGATGAATGATCGAACGAAAATGTTTTTGAGTTTCTTCATCTATTTTAGCATCAAGCCATATAAGATAGATATTGTCGAGGTCAATACCATTACTCATCGAAGGTGTTGCTGTCATTGTTACTTCTTCTTTTCACTTTATAAAATATAATTTTTACATCTATTTATAGTTGCCTTATGCAAACATTTCGTTCTGTACTTCCATACATAACATCAAAATCAGGAGAAACATATAAGAAAAACAATGGTATACCTGCAACGACTGAAGTCATGTAAAAATAAAAATCATAAATAACAGAATAAATCCACCGATTGATTTCGTAAACCATCCGTCACATTAATCGACTCATTTACATTAAATAGTAGCGACATCTGTAACTTCTTACAATTAAATCTTTATTAAAAACCAATTTTTCAAATATTTTAAAACTTATTTTTCTGATACATTAAACTTAAACTCAAAAAATAGACTTATCTTATATTAAAGGTCATGCGAGTTAATTCAATTGGTAGCTAATAGACCTGTTTGATAATATATTGTACATGTATACTATATGCATCATCCACCTATTTCCTTACCATTGATGATGCGTTTACATATGATTTAAAAGACAATAAATTTTGTAAAAAAGAAAATGGGTGCTCAATATTCCTCATTAAATAATTTAAAATCGAACGAGTATCTATCACGTTTTGTTAGTGAAGAATCAATCTCCGTCAATGATCCATTTTGGAATCAATTTCTATCATTTCGTTTACAATCTCCATTTACTACGTAATGATAAATAAGATTCATTTCTCTATTTGACTTAACTAATCAAATCTTAATTTAGTGCTCATTCAAAATTAATTGATGAAACATGTTCAATCTATTTACAACAATTTGAAGCAAATAATCCGAAAACAAATAATTATGGAACACTTATTGAAGTTTTTATTCGTTTAGCTTCAGCTATTCGTGATGATTGTGATGAGTATATTATTTCAAAACTTATCATCTATCTTCTTAAACAGAATTCTTTTTGCTTTAGTAATATTGTTATATGGCAAACTTACAGTGCTTTATTTATCCTTCGTTGTGTAACAAAATATTTTATTGAAATTGATTCCGAACAAAATCTTCATCCATATTTTTTACCACAAGAGAATTCAGATCGTTTATCATTAATGAGTTTATTTGTTGATACTTTATTTCGAACGACAATTGCTATACCGGTTGAAACATATACATATGCATTACATTTAGAAGTATTAAATACATTACTTTCACTTTTATCAATTCAAATGTGTGCTAAAGAAGCAGCATTGATTAGTTCGATTTATAGTATTTTTATGCATAGACTTGAGTATGACAATTTTTTTTATTTTATTCAGAAATAATCATATGTTGTTTTTAGTCCATTATTAATTTCGGAATTTACACGAACTTTATTAGAACATTTTATTAAACAAACTGATTGTCCATCAGCATTAGCTGTTGTTCCATTGAATGATGTGAATGGTGATAGTGGAACTTTATATAAAATTGGACAAAGTGTTGCATGTAAGTCATTCGTTTTTAAGAAATGAGAGCATTTAATAATGATTTATATTTAGCTGGTCTTTGGTCAGTGGTGACACTCGGCATGGGTGCATCAACAACAACACCAACAACTACTACTGCTTCTGAAGGAACAGTATCTCCTACTGATCCAGCATATGATCTTCGTAATCATCATTTAGCTAATCAAAGTATACATTTAATTTTAATTCTAAGTAATCATTTTACAAATGATGCTCATCGTAATCCTTATCGATTGGCTTTATTACATTTTACTGATACACAAGGTAAATAAAGAATTTATTTTCCCCCAAAAACAAAAACACGAGATCTATGTAATATTTCAGATAGTCCAACAAATTTACCGGATTCTGAACCATTACCATGGTTTTCTGTTGATTATCGTCGTTTATATGATGTACTTTGTCAAACAGTACATACTGATCAAAGTACATTATTACTTTATATGTTATTACATCGGAATCAACATTTTAAGGCTTATGTTATTTCACGAACAAATATTGATCAAATTGTAAGTTATGATTTTATTTTTTTCTTAATATTAAATTTAATCTTATTCTTGAATAGGTATTACCTGTACTTCGAGTAATCTATGCGGCTACTGAGAGAAACTCACATCATATTTATATGTCATTGATTATTTTATTGATTTTATCTGAAGATGATTATTTTAATAAAACAATCCATGATATTAAATTGAAGAAATTAACATGGTAATATATAAAGAGAAGAATTTAGAATTTTTTTCTCCTTGAAATCTCATCATATCAAGTATTAAGCTATTATATATAATAGGAAATATGTCTCAGTTTTTAATTGACATAACTTCGAGTGTAATGTAGAGCTTTATTAACGATTGACTAAAACTGTAAAAATTATTGTCGTCAGCTTACTCAGTGATTATTGTTCGATCTGTATGATATAGAAGCATGTTGGTAATCTGTAATATTAAATTTTAATAGTTTTCCTTTCCTCTTGAATATTCTCTACGTATTCATATATGTACAATTAAAACGTATGGAAGAATTCATTATTCTTGTGACATAGTATAACCAAAACACATAAGCTTATAAATCTACTTTAACACTAAAAACAAAAATTGATTTTTCAGGTATACTGAACGGTCATT